GGGTGCAGGGACCGGGGGTCCGGGTCCAGGGTCGGCGGGGGTCCCGGGGTCGGGGCCGGGGTGCTGGGTGCTGGGTGCCAGGGGCGGGGTCCCGCGGGGGTGCCGGGTGTCGAGCGGGCGCGGGGGTCTTCAGTGGGGTCCGGGGGTCGGCGCCCCCGCGGGAGGGGGTCCGGGGGTGAAATCTCGGCCCCGGCTTTGCCCCCAAGGGTCCCCGGGTGACAACCCTGCCTCCAACAGTCTGGCGCCTCGACGACGCCGGACCATAGTGGGTGCAGCTGCTGCTGATGTTGTTGCTGGTCCAACCACTGCAGCTGCTGCTGTTGTTCGATACCGCGATGTTGTCGCTGGTGCAACTGCTGCTGCTGCTGTTCGATACCGTTGTGTCGTCGCTGGTGCAGCAGCTGTTGCTGCTGTTCAATACCGCTAGGTTCTCGCTGGTGCAGCTGCTGCTGCTGCTGTTCGATACCGCTATATTGCCGATGGTGCAGCAGCTGCTGCTGCTGCTGTTCGATGCCGCTATGGGGTTGCTGCTGTTCCAAACTGCGCGAGGCGTCCGATGGTCTGGCGTCATCGAGGCGCCGGACCCTCCAATGGTCTGGCGCCTCGACGACGCAGGACCATAGTGGGTGCAGCTGCTGCTGATGTTGTTGCTGGTCCAATTGCTGCAGCTTCTGCCGCTGTTCGATACCGCTATGCTGTCGCTGGTGCAGCTGCTGCTGCTGCTACTGTTCGATACCGCTATGGGGTTGCTTCTGTTCCAAACCGCGCCGAACCCTCCAACCGTCTAGCGCCTCGATAACGTCGGACCATAGTGGGTGCAGCTGCTGCTGATGTTGTTGCTGGTCGAACTGCTGCAGCTGCTGCTGCTGTTCGATACCACTATGTTGTCGTTGGTGCAGCTGCTGCTGCTGCTGTTTGATACCGCTGTGTTGTCGCTGGTGCAGCAGCTGCGGCTGCTGTTCGATACCGCTATGGGGTTGCTGGTGCAGCAGCTGCTGCTGCTGCTGTTCGATACCGCTACAGGGTTGCTGCTGTTCCAAACCGCGCCGGACCCTCCGATGGTCTGGCGTCGTCGAGGCGCCGGACCCTCCAATGGTCTGGCGCCTCGACGACGCCGGACCATAGTGGGTGTAGCTGCTGTTGATGTTGTTGCTGGTCCAACTGCTGCTGATGCTGCTGCTGTTCCATACCACTATGTTGTCCCTGGTGCAGCTGCTACTGCTGCTGTTCGATACCGCTATATTGCCGATGGTGCAGCAGCTGCTGCTGCTGCTGTTCGATACCGGTATGGGGTTGTTGCTGTTCCAAACCGCGTCGGACCCTCCGATGGTCTGGCGTTGTCGAGGCGCCGGACCCTCCAATGGTCTGGCGGCTCGACGACGCCTGACCATAGTTCTTGCAGCTGCTGCTGATGTTGTTGCTGGTGCAACTGCTGCAACTGCTGCTGCTGTTCGATACCGCTATGTTGTCGCTGGTGCAGCTACTGCTGCTGCTGTTCGATACCGCTGTGTTGTCGCTGGTGCAGCAGCTGCTGCTGCTGTTCGATACCGTATGGGGTTGCTGGTGCAGCTGCTGCTGCTGCCGCTGTTCGATACCGCTATGGGGTTGCTGCTGTTCCAAACCACGTCGGATCCTCCGATGGTCTGGCGTCGTCGAGGCGCCGGACCCTCAAATGGTCTGGCGCCTCGACGACGCCAGACCATATGGGGTGCAGCTGCTGCTGATGTTGATGCTGGTGCAACTATTGCTGATGCTGCTGGGAACCGCTGTCGACACCGTGCTGTTCGAAACCGCTGTCGGGTTGCTGCTGATGATCTTGCAGGTGTGGTTGCTATTGCCGCTGCTGCTGCTGATGTTGTTCCTGGCGCAACTGCTGCTAATGCTGTTCGATGCCACTACCGGGTTGATGCTTTTCGAAACGGCGCCGGACATCAGCCTTGCACTGAACAATAGACGGCTTCCTGTCCGGATGCACAGAGGATACACGGAGATTACGGGCAGAGGTCACACAGAGGTTACACAGAGGTTACACCCGGGTTGCACAAACCCTCCGACGGTCCGACGTCGTCGGGGCGCCAGACCATCGGGGCCTCCGCGTCACCAGACCCTCCTTCCTTCTCCTTCCTTTCCTTTCTCTTCCTCTTGCTCTCCGGGTGCTGTGACAGAGATTACAGGCAGAGGTTACACAGGGTCTGCCGCCTGGTGGTCGACGTTACACAGTGAGAGAGCTTATAGGCAGAGGCTGCAGAGTGTGAGAGATAACAGGCAGACATTGTGCCGGGATTGTACGTGGATGTTACACAGACATTAGAGGCAAACGTTACAACGAGTACACCGAGATTATGGGCAGCGGTTGAACAGGATCTGCCGCCACGTCGTCGAGGTTACACAGTGCGACAGATTGCAGGCAGTGGTTGCACATGCCCTCCGATGGTTCGGCGCCGTCGAGCCGCCGGACCATCGGAGGGCCCGGCGTCACCAGACCCTCCTTCCCCTACCTCCTTCTTCCTTTCCTTCGTCTTCCTCTTCTTCTCCGGATGTTGTGAGGGATGTTACAGGCAAAGGTTACGCAGACATTAGAGGCGTGTTGGTGTTGGATGCGGTGGTGGTGTTATGCAGCTGCTTGCTCGTCAGGGGTCTCAACACCGAAGGTTGTCGGAAGGGCGGTCACGTTCCAAGAGAAGTATTGGGCGATCGATTGGGACCTCGGTATGAAAGTTCCCTGTTGCGGGCCATGCATTTTCTTGCGGGATGAGAGTGGTGGTTACTACCCGTGCGGGGGTATCAAGACTTACTCGTTTGATAAGAACATGCCTGACGAGGAGTACATGAGATTCCATTTGACGACGTGTTTCAACCGCGACGGTCACGAGGTGCTTGACAACTACAAGCTCATGTCTCTCCAAGTCGACAAGTTCCAAGGTTACGGCATCCGCGCTGCATCAATGCCGCCGTTCGACAAGTCGCAGAAGAAGGATGCGTCGCAGATGGTGATGCTAACGCCGTTCGAGTTCCTCAAACGCATTAATTGCTATAAGGTGTCGAACCATATCGTGACGATTGACAACAGCCTGCAGTTGTCAACTCCCTTCGTGCCTTTCGACTGTGATCTTGGAGACTTCGCAGACATGGTGCGACGTCACAAGCTGTAGGCAATGGGTCAAGCCGTTTTGCGAACTACCGTACATGTGAGCTCGCCACAGGCGGTAGGCAAGAGTTGTGGGGAGCCGAAAACAGCTGCCCGTATGAGCAAAAGTGGGGCCGCATCGACACAGGGAAAGAGCGTGAGCAAATCAGCTTCTCTGCTCCAGCCGAAGGGTGTGTCTGCGACGCGGGCACCATCACATGCAGAATATGCGGCACGCGTTTCTTTGAATCCGGCTGGTGGGGCCACTGACCATGAGGATGACGACGAAAACACAGAGGAGGACTCGCGCTTCAGACAATGGGACGGTGGGCGGTGGCCCGATGGCAATAATGCGAAAGACAAGGAAGGGGACGACGACGAACAGCGGTCCCGCGACGACACACACGATGAAGAGGGAAGCTTGGAGGATGACTTGGCCGAAGGCGATGGTAGTGAAGGCCAAGAGGATGGTGGTCACGAAGGCGATGGGAGTGAAGGAGAAGAAAACGAGGATGCTACAGAACGGGAAGACAACTACGAAGGGGGGAGCGAAGGAGATGAGGGTGGGGCGGACGACGACGACGGCGGGAATAGAGGGTCACAGAAAAGGCGGGAACTGTCTTCCCGTGCCACAAGTCATGATGGTCCGGCAGAAGATGACGATGTGTTGCATGGAACACGGAGGTCTGTGTGCATGCGCAAAAGGAAAATGAGATGTGGGAAAGCAGAGGAAGAGAAGCAGAGATAAGCTAAGCTCATCAGCCTACAGGCCTCAAAGGAGGCTTACAAGAGATCCTTGGAGGCCCAATCTGCTAAACCAGCAAAGGAAAAGCGTGAACGAACTCGATCTTCCCAGAGACCAAAGACGAAAGCAAAGGCCGAGGAGACAAAGGAAGTTGCGGACTCTGGGGACGAAGCGGCGGGGGTCGACCCGAGACATACAGCGTCAAAGCCTGGAGAGTTGACCAACGACACCATCGACACCACGAGATGTTTTTTCCTGGAATACGACGAGGACGGCAATGCGATAGATCGTCCTACCCAAGTGTTCGTTGATGTGGTCAAAATACTGCCCAACCCTTCGGAAGGCGTGCAATACAACCACAGACCGTTGAACGAGATGTTGGTCACCTCCATCAGGGATGCAATGGAACACCCGGAAAAGCAGAAGGAGTGGGACAGAAACATGTGGATTCTTGCTCCTGTCGTTGAGGTGCAGAAGGATGGCCGGAAGCAGTGGGAACGTGTGAAGCTGGAGGAGTGGGATGATGACAAGGTTGCCTCCTACCATTGGTACACAGTGGCCGGCCAACATACAGCGGAGGCAACAAAGAGGCTGGTCGCTGCAAAATCGTCTGCTGCCCACAACTGGGGCGTGCATTCTTGGAAGGCGCGGGTTGTGTATTTTGACGATGACCATTTGGAGGGGTATGCGTACATCTCCACGTTTGACAACACCAAGTAGACATGTGCTATCCCGTCGTCGTTTCGAATGACTGTGACTGTTATAAGAGGCCTGTGGCAGAGTATGAAAGAGCCAAAAGGTGATTGGCATCAGGCAAAGATGGTGGAAGAGAGGACTGCACAGCGTGACCAATATCATGAGTTCGTACGGAAAGCTATACGAATGACTCATGACACATCACTCTGGAATCAGTCGTTGGCGAAAAGATTTGTGAGGAATTGGTCAAACCTTTTGAGACCCTACATGTGTCTTGCGGCGAGCGGCAGGGTTGTGTGGAATCTGGTTGAGAAGTTCTTTGACAAATGGGAAAAAGACGAACTGCCAGGGCAGGACGGAGTGAGACAAGTGGATCAGGAAGGGAAAGCAGGCGAGGCGGCAGGACCGGGCCCTGCAGCGAAGACGGTGAAAGGCAAGAAAGTGTTGGTGCACTACGTCCAGTCCAACAAAAGCTCATCGGGTTTCTATGTTTGCATCAATAATCCCCCCGCGAGCGCATGGAAGGTGTTCGACAATTTCACATCAAGGGAGAAGGAAATGACCCTCGAGAAAATACTTGCGAGACACGTTGTCGTCACGATCGGAAGGGCATTTGTGAAAAAACTGATGAACATGCAAGACCTGTACGTGGAGGTGAGAAGGGAGAGATATATGGTTCGCATGTTTAACTATGTCCTCTTCAAGATAGTGCAGAGGTCGGAGGAGGAGTGAAATGCCAAGTTCTTCATTGGCTACGATACCATAATGAGGCGGTTTACACCACAAGGGTTGACGACAGAAAAATGGGAAGAAACAAAGTCCAAGATCGTAGCAGAGAAGACTATCAATGTCCCGAAACGATTGGGCGGCGTGGATTAGGCGAAACTAGGAAAAAGGAATGTCGGGGGGCACAAGGTGACGACTGCAATATATATGGAGTGTCCGTATTTCCTCAAACTTTTCGTGCATGAGATTCTTGGTGCAGTTGACCAATTGAGGGACGACCTGAGACGGATCAGCTCAAATGCTCAGCACATAATGTGGGACAAGCGCAAAGATCACACGACGTATCTTCCTGTCTACATCATACCTGTGGACGCACTGCACTCGACAAAAGATTTGACTCATGCCGTGAGAAAGCTGAGTTGTCACCTTGCAGTATTGGACTTGGCTCCGTTGAAGAATCTCGACGCATGGAACGACCAAAGGTTTCGCGAGCTCCGCCAAATGATGACGGTGTTGTGCGGGTCGCATTGGGCGCTAATCGTATTCAGCGCATTGAAAGTCGAGGAAACGGTGTTGAGGAACGTCTTCAGGTGGGACAGTGTGAGAATTCTTCCAAGGCGCTGGCGTCGTTATAGCGAAGCAGCATCATCCTGCACCCAAGTTGGGAACCTTCCGTTGAGAGGGCATGACTCCATGACCATAGTCCTGCACGATACAGAGAACGACTTCAAAAAGGTCACGGTCGCAAAGCCTCGAAGGAAGGGGAAGGTGTTATTTGTACAATGTACAAAAAAGGTAATCGGCATGCGGGGCGATAGCAAACCTGTGTACGGGATATGGGAGAGAGAACCTGCAAAGATGAAAGACTTGTGCACCTGGTTTTCGAAGGAAGGGGAAGGTGTCCTGTTACTGGGCAACGTGCAGGCAGGAACAACGTGGGACTTGCTTCGCTCAGGACACCATGTCGTCGCATGCGATGGTTCCTCAAACCTGATGGAGTACTCCACTTTGTTCATCGATCGTCACGTCAACAATCCGGATAATAGGTGTCACTTTGAACGACCCAGACCTCAACATCGTGCAGACCGAGACATGTTTCTGAAGCTCGACAAGAAGAGGGACTCTCTGTGGAGCTATCTGTTCTGCAATGCACCCGCAACACCAACAGATGCAGATTATCTCCACCGTAAGGTGATAGCGATCCAACATCTGCAAGGATATCACAACGTCAAACGAGGTACAATTGAGATATTTTTGGGGCGATGTGAACACCTATGGTTTGAAAGGAAGCGAGACAAACTTTATGCCAAGGTTTACTGCGAGGTAATGGATGTTGGGGAGCAGTTTAACATTATGGACAATGAGGAGGAGACGGAGGATGAGGAGATTGACCTGCCATTGTCGGGCACGCATCACAATGCAGTGATAGAGGAAACACCTTCGCTGTCCGCTTTGGGTGGTCAACAAGCGATGGAGGAAGATGTTGGCGGCAATATCGCAAGTACCAGGACCGAAAATGTGATGTGCGGAACAACACCGAACACAGCTGGTGCAATGGAAGGCAGCACATCCAAGTGCGGCATGAAGGAAGCAACCCCAGGATTCATTTCGCTCGTGAGGAGAGTTTGCAATGACATAGAAGGAGCAACGGACGGCGAGACTCAAAATGTTGCGCATGCAGACAAGGAATCAGAGGACGGCCCATATGGGATGGACATAGAGGATGATCACCTTTTTCACATCCCGGACGACGCCCCCAAACAACTTGCACCTGGTGATAGCATATCATATGACATGAAGGAGATGAAAGGAGGACCTCACTTTCTAGACATAAAGTACAAAGAGTCACATGAACACGAGTGGGGGCATCACATCGTATGACATCCAGGTCTTTTCGAGCCTTGTGTGATTGATGGCAGATGGCACATGGCTATCCGAATGGGTGGGAAATGGGTATTTAGGGAAAGAGTCCTCAGGAGCAGGTTTTATGAAATAGCGAAGGACAGCTTGTCTACCCCCGTGAAGCAGGCGAACAAAGATGCGTCAGACCACAAAATATCAGACAAAGTGAACTCGTTGTTCGAATTCCTGCATGAAAATCACCTTCACGAGTATAGCGCTGCGTTCTACGACTAGAAATCGAGTCTGTCGTATGGAGCCGTCATATGGTCTGTGGACTACTGTGCAACGGACTGTATGTTCGACAGCGACATAGTTCTGGGATGCAGTCAAGGCCTTGAGGGACACACGAGTGCAAGGAAGAAGATCGATTCAGCAGCAGCAGGAGATGGTGGCGAGAGTATGGCAGACAAGGAAGGGCATATCAGGATGCAAAACACAAATGGAGATGAATTCGCAGAGCGGCCATCAAGCACACCGCAACCAACACTTAGACTGTCAGAAGGCATCAGTGCAGTAGGAGCCAGAAGTGAGACAACACCAACAGCGGGCGGGGAAGTTGTTGCACACGTGCATGGCGAGATTGAAGAGACCAGGGACAAAAAGCATCAGACGAAGAAGGGTCAAAATTTCAGGCACATGAGGGAGTGGAGGCGGTGGCAAGGAATGTCGATTCGCATTCCAAGCAGTCGCATACGACTGTCATCACTTCACATGCGCAAGGCACCGACGAAGCTACCAGGGAGCAAAGTGCGCATGAGAAAGAAGAGGGGAAAGGACCAGTGCATATGGAATGCACTGGTCCAGGAACGTAAATAGTTTCGGAGTCAACAATCGCAGAAATGAGAGATGATTTGGAGGGTGTCAGTGCGGCAGAGCATGAAAAGGTTCCAAGCACGGCAAACAGGGAGAGGGGGGAGGAAAATGAGAAAGAAGAGGAGGCGGACAAGAGTCGGAGTGTGATCAACTTGGTGGACCAGTCAAGTGAGAACGAAGAAACATCTGACAAGAAAGAAGCGAAAAAGTCGGGAGAGGAGTTTCAAGAAAGAGAGCGTGATTTGAGCGAAGGGAGTGAGGGAATATGCGGTAGAAAAAGAAAAGCAGGCAAGGAAAAAGAGGAATGCACAATGCGACGTTCAAAAAGAGGCAGGGAGAAGAAAGCACATTGCAACGTGTAGTGCATGTGTGCACATGGGTGTCTGCCTGCATTCACAGTCGATGGTAGATGTGTGTGTGTGTGTGTGTGTGTGTGTGTGTGTGTGTGTGTGTGTGTGTGTGTTACATCACCGGTGAGGATGAGATTTTAGAGTATGAAACGATGAGTGAGAGACGTGATTTATATGTCGCTTGTGTCGGTCAAGTACATATTACATTTTGAGTACGCTTCGAGTTTTTGACATGTAAATGAAAAAATGGAATGCACAAATTATATATAGATTGTGTCGATCGAGAAAAAAACAGCACGATGTGTATCAGATTATGCTATTTTTGTATGGAAAGTGCTCGATGAGTTCAAAATTTTCACATTGTTGCTACCTTCGGTGTATGTAAAGATGAAGTTTTCTCTCTCTCTCTCTCTCTCTCTCTCTCTCTCTCTCTCTCTCTCTCTCTCTCTCTCCAACACACACACACACATTCAAACACACACACACACACACACACACACACACACACACACACACACACACACACACACACACACACACAAACACACACGTACGCACGCACATGAACACATAATTGATAATGCAATGACTTCACATGTTAACAATAAGTAATCCCATTGTGGTGTGAACCAGGGACATTGCTACACGTCCAAGGCGAACGCCGATGTAAATACGGGTGGAGTATTCAATTAGCAACGGATGCTATCACCGAGTCGGAAGAAAATACATTGCGGCAATGGGAAAATAAGTTCAACAATTACAAAACACTGTCAAGCACCAAGAATCCAGCGATGCGAGAGGAGTTAAGATTCACGGTTCACGATATGAGTATCCTCATGAGTGGCACACGATGGCTAAACGATGACATTATAAACTTTTACAGCAATATGATAAAGGTTGACAAAATGTGTAGGACCTCCCATCGAGAGTGCGATACGCGAGCTAACATGTCCGCGAAGTACGCAAAGGGTTTGATTCCTTGAACAACTGTATGTAACTTTTTTTTTTTTGTCAAGCTCATGGATGACAACTTCAGATATCACTGTGACAAAGTAGCTAAATGGTTCAGAGACGTATTGATCGCAGATAATGACTTGATTTTAACCCCATACCATAATATTCATGAAAAGCATTGGACACTTGTTGCAGTAGACCTTCGACGGACAGTTATAGAGTACCACGATTCGATGGAACCAAACTCTGACATTGCAAAAAAGGTAGTCAATAACTTCGCGAGATTCGTGTACGATCGATCAACACAACAAGGAAAGCAAGTCAACACTAGACATTTCAAGAAGGTATTAGAGGTAGTTGGTATCCCGAAAGAAAAAGACATTCATGAGTGTGGAGTATTTGTGCTAGCATACGCATCTCTTTTAGCAAGAGGTCGGTTGCCACCATTCGAATTCGATATGCACGATATCCAACGCATTAGACGTCGGATCGCACTAGACTCAGTAGCAACTAGAGAGGGTGTGTAGGATGCGACAGATTATAGAGGAGATTAAAGAGGTTGAAAGGTGACAGTCATTGAATTGTTCGGTTGCAAGTCACTTATGGCAGTTTGCAAATGTACAATGTTATGTACAATATGGAATGCTTTGACCGACAGATCGCAAATGCAGCGACATATACATCAAACTTGTACGTAGTCATACAACATGTTGAGGTCTACATATGTATGGTCTATGTGAGGTCTGGATATGTATGGTCTATGCGAGGTCTGGATATGTATGGTCTATGTGGAGAGTAGAATGCAAAAAGGATGGAAGTCAAGAATGTATCATATACCATAAGCATATGTATGGTGTACGCGGTATAATGTGCATATGTATGGTGTATGCGGTATGATGTACCCCTAATGGTATATTGCACATAATAGTTCACCTCCCATATATAATGCACGTGGTACCATACGACTACAGCCTACCATGGTCTACATATAAAGCCAGAAGTCACGATTTCGGAGGAAAATTTTGTACATTTTTCACTTAAATCAATTTCGCGATTTCAGAAAAAAATGTCAGTTTTAACGAAATGTCAGTTGATTCCTTCTGTCTAACTCTTTCATTCCTCAATCACAGGCAATAGTGAATGGTTCAGGCAGCAAATAAGAAGACTTTGACCAGTTAATCGAGGCTTCCGACAATTGGCAGTATTCCTCCAGCACTCTCCTAAGCTCAGTTAGTGATGTCTGCGTATTCTTACATATCAAAGTCAGGTCGTCTACTAACGCATTCCCCTTCCAGTTAAGCTTATCAGACATATATAGGCCGGTTATTTCATTATTATACCTGATGTTATCCAATAGGACTTCCAATTGGATGACGAACAGCAGTGGAGCCAACGGACAGCCTTGTCGCAGAGAACGGGTGAGCATAATTTCCTGCGATAGACAGTTGTTGACATTTACCACTGCCGAACCTTGAGAGTACATTGCTTTCACTACTTTCAAAAAAATGCGCCAAAATTCATGTTCTTTAATGTAGTGGCAACGAAGGCCCAACCCACCTTATCATAGGCTTTGCCCATATCGATCAATAGTGTCGCCACATTCCTGTTTTCAGTACCGATAATTTCTAGGGTTTATAGAATTGCCAGAATATTTTCATATATCGATCTGCCTTTAACAAAGCCCCCTTGCTCTTGGCCTACTATTTCAGGCAAGTACCTTGCCAATCTGCCCGCTACTGCTTTCGATAATATCTTGTAAGCAACATTCAGTAGTGAAATAGGTCGGTAATTTTTTACTTCTTTTTTGTCGCCTTTCTTGTACATTAGTGAAATCACGCCTCTTGTCAAGCCCTTCGGGAGAGACCTGCCTGTTAATAGCCCATTACTGATGTCTGTGAGGAATGGGCCCATTGAGTCCTAGGTTTCCACATAGAACTCCATCGGGAGCCCATCGGAACCTGGGCATTTACCCGATTTTATACCTTTCAATGCCTGACCTAGCTCCGTTATTGTGAATGGTCTGTCTAGATCAAGCTTCCCTTGTCTTGAGATCGTTACCTTCGATCTTTCCCAGTACCTTGAGGTGGTGGTCAGATCAGTATCAAAGTTCGACTCTTGCCTTTTTGTCGAGAATATATCCCTAAAATAATCCCTAACATATTCGCACATCTACTGGATGGAGTCTGTGACTGGGAGCAGTGGATCTAGCGGGTGAGCGAGTTGCCTCAGCAAAGGTCTGGACTGACGTAGAATCAGCGAACGAAAAGTTAATTTCGTCATTCTAATGTAACTTGTGATGCCTCTCGGATTTAACCATTCTAACCACTGGGTTTGTTTTCTTACCTCTAACTTTTCTAACGCCAGCAGTAGTTCTTTCCTCTTCTTAGACCAGAAGTGATTTGCATATTGGTCCGTCCTTATCTGTTTTTCTGCTTCTGCGATTGCCGCTTTCAGATCTTCTCGTCCTTATTTCTTCTCCCGACTTTAATCTGAGAGAAAACATTCATAGTATTTAAAATTGCAGCTAACCCGGTATCAGCCCAGTCTTCCTCTGTCTGGAATAGCGATTTGGCCTTAACCCAGTATTACATGTGTTTTGTCACCCACTCTTTTATTCCCTTGTCTTTCGGATTGGCGACATTCAACCGGAAAGAGCCACGCATTCGCTCCACATTGTCTCCAGGTAGGACGTCTATGATCACCGGATAATGGTCTGAAAAAGGGCTAAATTTAAATTCCGCCCATATACAGCAATCCCAGATTGCCCCCCTAGCTAGAAAGAAATCTAATCTCCTCCCTGAGGCTAAAGCACTGAACCACGTAAATCCATTTGACTCTGGATTCATGACACGATATGCATCTATTAGACTTTGCGACTCCATGAAGTTAATTAATAACTTAGAGTCATCTCTCATCGGATCTAGTCGGGGAGTATCCAATCCTGGAGTTATAATCGTGTTCCAATCTGGCGCCAATAGTAGATGTTCGGTATCCGGGATAAAGGCTGGGAGATTAGCAAAAAAGAAAATCCT